CAGTCCACCATTCCGTGGCGGGCGCTTCGTTACCTGATTGGAGAAGTGATTTACGGAGGCCGGGTGACTGATAACTGTGACAAGGAATGCTTAAAGACACTTCTCTACAAATTTTGTAATCCTGAAGTGCTAAAAGATGACTTCAGTTTCTCTAGTGTTGAGGTAAGAACAGAATTTGTTTTCTTAAGTTACTGTATTACTTTTAACTAAATATTGTTGCATTATTTAAAATCTGTATTTAAATAAATTTTAATGTTCATTTTCAGTAGCTTTTATTAACTTTCATCATTACAAAAGAAACTTACCCATCACTCTATTAAATACACCATTATGCCAGGCAGTAAATAAAAAGAATGATAAAGAAATGGTTCATACCCTCTAGGGACCTAGAGTATAAAATACGCAGCACCAGACAGCAGAAGCAAACTAAAATTTATTGATCAACTCTCCCATGCTAGTCAATTTATGTTTCTCATCTGATGCTCAAAACAACCACGTAAAATAGATGTTATTCCCAGTTTACAGATGAGGAAACTGAGGTTCACAGGGGGCAGGCACATACAGCTAGCACATGGTACATTCAACAGCCTTGCCCCTTATCTCAAGCACCCAAGCAAATGAAATTCTGCATCTTCTCTTGGCCTCTGGATTAGTTTCCTAGGGCTGCTGAAATGAAATACCACAAAGTGAGTGGCATGTAAGAACAGAAATTTATTCTCACAGTTCTGAAGCCTGGGAGTTCAAGATCAGGTATCTTTATTGATTGCTTCTGAGGCTTTGAGGGAGAAATTGTTCTATGTCTCTCTCCCAGACTCTGGCAGCTCCAAGTTTCCTTGGTTTGCAGGTATAGCATCATATGACACACTTCCTCTGTCTCCCTATCTCTGTATATCTTCTCCTCTCTTATAAAGACATCAGTCATACAGAATTAGGACCCACCCTACTCCAGTATGACCTCCCGTTAACCTAACTGATAACATTTTCAAAGACCCTATTTCCCATCAGGGTCACATTCACAGGGACAGGGGTTAGGGCTTCAGCATATCTTATTTCACGGGACACAATTCAATGCATAGCACCTTCTCTCTCCTCTTCTCTCTATTCCCCACCCCTCAGTTTCTGTCCTCCATCCAGGCCTTCACCTTTGTGGAGCAGAAAACTCCAGGTTAGAACCAGCAGCTGTGCCTCTGTCAGATGGTTCCTAGCAGAGATAAAATTCTACATATCTTTGACTTTAGAATATGGAGGTAGGACTTAACATAAATTTGGAAGGGTGAGAATTTTGATGGGATTGGTGAATGGAAGATGAGAAGGCAGACAATGCCATGTGGGTGATCACCATGAGTTGGGAGTGGGCCTGGTATAATCAAGGGAACAGAGATCATGTCCAGCTCTGTGGAGGGCCTTGAGAGTATGGATGGATAAGAAAAATGATAAAAAGTGATATTTTAGGGAGATTTATTTGGAAGGCACCTATAGAATAGATAGTAATAGTCTATACTGATGACCTTGAGTCAACAAGAAGACATTAAATTATATCCTTTATAAATTATTTACTAAGGCAGGAAACACTGAGTGTTTTTTTTCAATATTCCCATTAAAAAAAACTGTTTAAAATAACATTTTTGTTCAATTTAGAGACTAAAGTCCACCCTGAAGATAAAAATTACACTTGAAAAGCCTTTAAATTGCCCCAGAAGTATAGTGTGCATAGTTTTTGTATACAGACTGTTACATTAAGTATGCATAAGTGAATTAGGTATACTGTAACCTGCAGCATGCCATTCCTTTAGCAGAATTAGACTATGGGATTATATTCTGAAATCATATTTTCCAACTAGTTAAAAACCAAAAAAAACCCAAACCTGTTGCCGTCGAGTCAATTCAAACTCA